GAGGAAGTAAGGCTGGGACTAGGGAAGGGGGAGGGGTGCAGTGCAGCCCATTGGCTGCTCCCAGGGCTGCAGTAGGGAGCAAAGCATAGGGAGCTGTCGGGGGAGGGGTGGCTCTTCTATGCGCCCCCTGGGAGGGCTTGCGGGTCAGGGGGCCTGTGATGGGGCTCTTCCCAGGGGGTGTGCACCCCTGGATCAGCAACAGGAAGCACATGGTGTCACACCCTGCCTTTCTTCCCTGGCTGCGTTTGTGCCCCTCCTACCTGCTGCAGCAGCTCGTGGGCTGCCCTGGCATTTGTGGGGGGAGTGTCATGTGGCTGGATGTGGTGGAGGAGGGGGGACGTGACCCTGGCACCCCCCGCCCTGCCCAGAGTCGGAGCTGGGAGCCCCGTGCTCCCAGGCAGCGGCTCCGGCCTGACACAGGCCTGTGCAGAGTGACTGGGTGCAGTGCCCCTTTGCAGGGAGTGAGGCCAGGCTCCAGTCACCCTCCCCCAGCCCCCGCACATCCACCACCACCCACCCTCCTGCCCCCCACTCCGCATGCAGCTGCTGCCGCCACCTACCTCTGGCCGGAAACCTGTGCCTCAAGTAACTGGCACTGTGGCACTTTTAGCTTACCAGCACCACCCATTTTTCAGTTCAAATCCCTGTTAACCGTACTTAACACCAAGGCCATTCCTCATACATGCCAGTTAACAGGGGTTTGAACTGAAAAACGGGTGTAAATCAGTGAAAACTGAATGATTTTATGAAATTCCCTGATTTTTTTATTTTTTTTATTTTTTTTTAGATTCCATAGACATTAGGGCTGGAAGGGATCTCTGGAGATCATTAAGTCCAGCCCCCTGCCCCAGGGACAGGAAGTCAGCTAGGGTCAAAGGATCCCAGCAAGATAAGCGTCCAAGCGCTTCTTAAAGGAGTCCAGAGTAGGTGCTTGCACCACCTCTGGAGGGAGCCTGTTCCAGGTCTTGGTGGCTCGGATAGTAAAAACGTTTTTCCTTTTATCCAGCCTAAAATGGTCTTGGAGGAGTTTGTGACCGTTGGTCCTTGTCTTCCCTTGGGGCGCTCTGGTGAACAGGCGTTCCCCCAGATCCTGATGCACACCCCTAATGGATGTGTCAGTGAAAATCGGTAAAAACTGAGAATGCGGAACACTACCTATGAAAGAGAGAGTGCACAGATCTGCTTCGATGTAGCTTGTCCCCACTCACCCAAGCCCTTGCTGCAGTGGCCCCGGGAATGGGTGGTGCCAGCTGCCTGCAGCTGTGTTGCACCCCGACCCCCCCAGGGTTCCACTTGTCTCCACTCACCCCACCTCCTGCTGCAGCAGCCCCAGGAGCAGCCTGCACCATGGCACAGGGCAGCCCAGGGCCTGGGGGGGAGTGGCACGTGGCCAGACACAGAGAGGGAGGGACAACCCAACCCCAGCACCAGCACCTCCTGCCTGCGGTCATAGCCAGGAGCCCCACGCCCCTGGGCAGTGGCTCCAGCCCTGCAAGCCTATGCGGATTAGCTGTGTGCAGCACCTGCTAGAGGGAGCGAGGCTGGGCTCTCCTGCTTGCCCCACCTGGTAAGGCTCCCAGCATGCGGGGCAGGGCCACAGCTGGAGCCACCAGGTTGCAGCTGGAACCCACCTGCCCCAGGAACAATTCCTGTGGCCTCTCCTGCCCAGGGTCAGAGCCGGGAGCCCCGAACCCCCAGGCAATGGCTCCAGCCACCCTTCCTGGGCCCCCTCATGGCCACCGACCCTTTCTCCATGTGTGGCTGCTGCCCTCTCTCCCCCACATCTGACCGGAAACCTGTGCCTCAGGTAACCAGCACTTTTAGCTTACCAGCACCTCTCAGCCATTCCCCACTCATGCCAGTAAACAGGGATTTTACTGTAGCTGGTAAAATTCAGTGAACTGAAAAACAGGTGTAAATCAGTAAAAAATGAATAACTTCAATAAAAAAATCAGGAAACTTATTGGCAAAAATCAGTAAAAATTGGAAATGTGGAACATTATGGATAAATGAGAAGGCTGCACCTGCCCATCGCCCCTCTGCTGGGTAGTTATTAAGCCAGTGGCTGGTGGCCATGGTGCCACCAGATGACTGCTGAGGAAGTTTTTTGGATTATTGCTAATTCCTGGGAAGTGAGGAGCTATCAATCAGATACCTGCTGTGAATGATTTTTGTGTGGGTTCTTCATACAGCCAATCCATCATTTTTGAGGGAGGACTCATGACAAGTTTGTTTGCCACCAAGGACAACACTCAAATATGAGAGTGCAACTGAAAAAGGAATCTTTCCTAACAGGTCTAGACGTTTCTGACATGAAGCAAGAAAACCATTACAGGAAAGGCTCGGTCCTCAAAATGGAGGAGATTCTTGGTGAGAGCAGTCCAACCACAACCTGGACCCAACATAGGCTCAGACGCAAAAGGTCCTTGCTTTCTTACCACACTTTCATTCTGGACTGCTGTTCAGCTCTAGTTAAAGTTAATTTTGATAGAATTTGGGCTCTTTACCCTCCTGTGCAATTGTATGTGGTCTTCTACCTGACAGCATCACTGTTTCTCACACGGCTGTTGCACATTTGTCTACTGACTATGGAACTTACTTTTGTTTGGGACCTTGATGTGTTTCTCCTGAATCTCCTGGTGTTTCCTTTGAAACTTTTTTTTCAGAATGATTGATAGGTTCTCTCACTATCAACTTTTTCTGGTGGCCAGCTGTGGTTGGAAGAGTGAAAGAACTTCAGGCAGTCATGGTTGAAGATCCCTAAATAACTACGCAGAGTCGACGCAATGTTGAAACCTCAGTGCGTGTTCCATCCTGAGGAGGTGGTTGAATTTCATTTAAAAGCAGTTTGCCTCTCTACTTCCCAATTCCTGTTGTGCTCTAGGAGAGAAGTTACACAGTCTAGATGTCTCTATAGCCTTGTTGTATTACAGGGATGGAACTGAAACCATTCAAATGGTCTCTAGGCTTGTTGATAGCCAGCCTGGCCATTCAAAAGGTCAAGTCATTTCATTACAGGAATATCCAGCTTGATACAACAGTCCATCTCAATCTGGTTAGCAGTTGTGTACCACTTCCTCCATCCCTAGATGTTAAGGCTCACTCCACCAGAGCACAACATATTCTGGTTTCTTCAGAAATATTCCAGTGTCCAGAATGTGGAAATCAGCATCACGGAATAAGCCATTTTGGGATGTTACATATTTTTTGCACAATTGGGCCCCTGAAAGCTCTCTTATAGCCATGCCATGGCACACGTGCATGGCTGTGGAGTGCTTTTATAAATTCATAGGTTGTAAGGGGCTGGAAGGGACTGTGGAAGATCATCAGATCCAGCCCCCTGCACTAGACAGGAAAGACAACTGGGGTCCGGTGACCCCAGCAAGGTGGGCGTCCAGTCTCCTCTTGAAGATTTCCAGGGTAGGTGATTGCACCACCTCTGGAGGGAGCTTATTCCACAGTCTGGACACCCTGACTGCGAAGAAGTGTTTCCTGTTGTTAAGCCTGAAACAGTCTTCCAGGAGTTTGTTGCCATTACTCCTGGCTTTCCCCAAGGGTGCCCTGGCAAACAGTTGTTTGCTAAGCCCTTGATGTATTCCCCTGATACAGCTGATTGCACAAAAAAATTAACCCTCCTGTGGCAGGGTACTGTGTGCGCCTGCCACTTTAAGGGCCTGGAGCTGGCAGCTGCCAGGTGCCTGATGAGGGCAGCCATTTTGGATCTGGGGCTGCCCATATAAACAGGGCAGCTTGGCTGCTGGAGGCCAGGCAGCAACATTGCCTGGCTGCAGGTATCATCTGGAGGTAAGGGAGGAGCCGTAGGGGATGGTCAGGAGGCTCCTGGTTCTGGGTACGACCTAAAACTGCACCCTGCCGGGAGTGGATGGCCTGGTGGGGCTCTCAGTGGCACGGGAGCCCCCAGGAAATGCCAGGCCAGTTACCACCCTGGTGAAGGCGGGTTGGGGCTCCTTAACCCCTAGCCCCCACAACCTGGTGGGTTACCCCTTGTTTGGAGGGTCCGGAGGGTGGACCCCAGAGAGAGAAAAAAGGCCATAGACTCAGGCCTGTCCGGACTTCCCCTGACTGGTCCATGCTGGGGCCAGGACTGGAAGAGTCAAAGGGCTGGGGGCCCACCGCGAGGGACGCCCAAGAGCTGCGGGTCTGGGGTCCCAACTGGCCTGGAGGTGGGCCAGGGCTAGAGAGCTGAAGGTCCTGGGGGGGGCACCACACCCAAAGGGGAAGCAGTTCAGGGAGCTATGCTGCCCGGTATGAAGGCGGATGATACTGCCTGAGGAGAGGAATCCAGGTGGGGTTCAATTAGGAGGATTCTGGGGCCCTGAGTGGGGGCCGGCGATAATGATAACATCGAGATGCCATCTGTGAGCCTTGGGCTGCAGTGTAGGGGAGGAAAGGAGCCGCAGATAGCGCCCCCTGGCATTGGGGCAGGAAATGGGCAGCCTCCCACTTAATTACATCATTAACTAATTCTAGCAAGGCATGGCGGGCGAGAAGGTGGGCAGTTAGCCCAGAAACAGGTGGGCGGGCCACAGTGAGATCAGCCCGGAGTAGGCCCCCTGTTACATCTCCTCTAATGAGGTATTAGATGAAGGCCCTCCGCTTTAGAGCACCTTTTCCCTAGGGTTAATTTTTTGCATGTTACAGGCTAGGCTGGCAGTGGGGAAGGGGGAGACAGAGGGATGGAGTAGCCCCGGAGCTGCTGGCTGGGGTTTGCTGCCTGGTTGGAACCGCAGACACATGCTTAAGTATCCTTGGAGCTGTACAAGCAAAATTCCATAACAAGGGGGAGAAAAAACCCCAAAAACAAAACAACCACCTCTCTGTACTTTTCTGGCGTAGCAAGCAATGTAAGTGGTGTTGGGGCTGCAAAAGAAGGGGTTGGGTGGCAGGAGGGAGAAAGCAGTCCTAAAGTTGTGAAGTCAAACAGCGATGAGTCTCTTTCACCCCCACCTCTCTCTTTCTTCTTTCCACTTCTTTTGCAGCAGCACCCCCTCCTGGAGGGGAAGAGAAGGGTCACTGCATCAGTGTTGCAGAAGGGATGTACCCCAAACTGCTACCTCATTCCAAACCCACCCTGCAGATGGACTGTACCAGACGGAGCTTGATGCAAGATGGGGAGGGTGATAACTCTGGAACTAAAATTGACCCGAAGGCAACACAGAGCAAGAGTGCCTGGCCAGCAGACAGCACCTACAGTGGCCCAGCAGGCCAGGGATGTGTGAGGGACATTGTGACAGCCTCTGAGAGAGGGCCTGTGCCTGAGAATGGGGCTCTCGGTGAAGGGTCCTCCGGTGGCACTGAGGGAAAAGGACTGGCTGTTAGCATCCTGGAGAAGCCCCTCTGCAGTGCGGGGAAGACTTTGCCAGAAGCGGCTGTGCCTTGTATGGGACAGAGCACCAGTACTCCTGGTGTGGATGGAGGCTCTGTGGGTGGGGCTACAAATCAGTTTCCTCCCCTCTACATGCCGGGCTTGGAGTATCCAAATTCAACGGCACGTTACCATATCAATCCAGGACTCCAGGGGTTCAACCCTGTGATGGGGGGGAAGCATCCCACCCCTGTGTCCCATCCACAACACTTTCCAGCTCGGGGCTTTCAGTCTAGTAACACCCACCCTAGTGTCTTTCCCCGGTATCGCCACCATCAGGGAATGCCATACCCCTATCAGCCACAACCTCCACCTTCCTACCACCACTACCAACGCCCTCCTTACTATACTTGCCCACAAGGCTACTCGGACTGGCAGAGCCCTCTCCATCCCCAGGCCAGCCCTAGTGGGCATCCACCCAGCCATCCAGCTCTGCCCAGGCCTGCCTTCTCTGACAGAGGGAACATGGATAGTCTAGATGGCTCTGAAGCATTGAGCACTGCCCTGGTCTCCCCAAACCGAATGGACATGGCAAGCGCCAAAGAGGTTCCTCCAAGTGATGGGCAGGATCCAGGGCCAGAAGATGAGAAGTCAGAAGACTCCCAGGAAAGGCCAGAGAGTCCCAAAGAGTTTCTTGATTTGGACAACCACAATGCAGCCACCAAGAGACAGAGCTCAGTGGCAGCAGGGGAGTTTCTGTATGGGGCTCCCCCTCCACCTCTGAGTTCTGGGATTGGATTTGGTCCATCTGCTTTCCCTCCCCATGGGGTGATGCTACAGTCTGGGTCTCCTTATGCATCTCGGCATCCAGCCAGTCACTTCCCACCCAGGGCCTATGGATCACCAGTAAATGCTCACCTATCTCATCATCCTGCCACTGGCCAGGCCAATGGCCTATCTCAGGAGGGACCCCTGTATCGCTGCCGGGAAGAGAACATGGGTCACTTTCAGGCCTTACTGATGGAACAGAGAGGTAGTGGAAGTGGCATGGGGGGACCACCCCAGAACATGTATAGACCACCGGGGTAAGATGTTTTCCACAAGAATGAGAGACAAAAAGGGGGTTGTGATGCATGATCACTAGTTCCAGGGGAAAAAAATCACATTTGTAATCTCTTGTTTAAAAGGAAAAACAAATGGTCAGGCTTGGTCTGATGATATGTCTGCCAAATTTTGGGGGAATTTAATGGTAGCTTTTTAAAGCATACAGTAATAATAACGAGGAAGACCTGCTTAGGTTATCCAGTTCTACATGTCTTCTCAGCAGACGTTGAGAGGCTCAGCGTTATGCAGTCTCATAATGGAGAAGCAGCAGTAGCAGCCTATAATATAAAGTTACAGCTAACTTCCTGTTGTTGTAAACTCCATGTTTCTTTCAGATTTGCTCCCTTTCCTCCCCTCTACATTGCCACCCTAAATTTCCATCAAGAGAAAGTCTCCTTTTTATTTCCTCATATATCCAAAATGAATTGACCTTTGTGCTCTTGCTGAGAAGTGCATTAGTGAGGGAATTAAGAAACAGTTATTTCTCTGTGTATAGAGTATCATAGAAAGTTAGGGTTGGAAGGATCTTCAGGAGGTGATCTAGTCCAACGCCCTGCTCAAAGTAGGGCAATCTCCAACTAGATCATCCCAGCCAAATCTTTGTCTAGCTGGGTTTTGAAAACATTCAAGGATGGAGCTTCCACCCCCTCTTTGGGTAATCTGTTCTAGTGTTTTACTACCCTCCTAGTGAGAAAATTCTTCCTAATATCTAACCTAAACTTCCCTTGCTGCAACTTGAGACAATTGCTCCTTGCTCTGTCATCTGCCACCACTGAGAACAATCTAGCCTCCATCCTCTTTCAAACCTTCCTTCAGGTAGTTGAAGGCTGCTATTAAATCCCCTTTCAGTCTTCTCTTCTCTAGACTAAATAAGCCCAGTTCCCTCAGTCTTTCCTCATAAGTCATGTCTCCCAGCCCCCTTATCTTTTTTGTTGCCCTCACTGGACTCTCTCCAATTTGTCCACATCCTTTCTGTAGTGGAGTGCCCAAAACTGAGCACAGTACTCTAGATGTGGCCTTACCGGTGCTGAATAGAGGGGAATAATCACTTCCCAAGACCTACTGGCAACACACCTACCAATGCAGCCCAGTATGTTGTTAGTCTTCTTGGCAACAAGGGCCCACTGCTGGCTCATATTCAGCGTATTGTTCACTGTAACCCCCAGGTCCTTTTCTGCAGAGCTGCTGCCCAGCCAGTGAGCCCCCAGCCTGTCTCGGTGCATAGGATTGCTCCGCCCTAAGTGCAGGACTTTCCACTTGTCCTTGTTGAAGATTTCTTTTGGCCCTATCCTCCAGTTTATCTAAGTCACTCTGAATCCTAGCCCTGTGCGAAGCGGCTAGTATTCAGTTCGGATTCAGCCGATTCAGGGAACAGTGATTCGATTCAGTGATTCAAATCACTGTCCCAAATCAAACCGGCCTCATCCCCCACCTGCTCTTCCAGCCCTGTCAATGGCTGCCCAACCTGGCCTCAGTGTCCTGACACTTAAAAAGCCCACTGATGGGGCTGGGAGAGCAGGCAGGGGTTGGGGGGCAGTCAGGGGATGGGGCCTAGTGGGGGTCCCCCCCATGGTCCATCCCCCTCCCCGCCCCCTAGTTACTGGCATGGAGCCTAGGTCCAGCTCCCTGCGGCAGCGGGTGGAGACTGCCTGAATCTCCAAATCTTTTCCAAATTGATTCAGACCTTTTAATTGGTGTCCCAGTTCAATTCAGGTTCAGAGATTTGGCCGCTAAATCGGGCTGAATGTCCTCTGAATCAAATCAGCAATTGAAGCTTTGCATGGCCCTGCCCCCTAGTTACTGGCATGGAGCCTAGGTCCAGCTCCCTGCGGCAGCGGGTGGAGACTGCCTGAATCTCCAAATCTTTTCCAAATTGATTCAGACCTTTTAATTGGTGTCCCAGTTCAATTCAGGTTCAGAGATTTGGCCGCTAAATCGGGCTGAATGTCCTCTGAATCAAATCAGCAATTGAAGCTTTGCATGGCCCTGCTATCTACTACTCCCCACAGCTTGGTGTCATCTGCAGACTTGCTGAGGGTACACTCTGTGCCATCTTCCAGGTCACTGATGAAGACATTGAACAAAACTGGCCCCATGACTGAGCCCTTGGGCACTCCACTTGATACTGGCTGCCAACTAGACATTGAGCCATTGATTGCTACTCTCTGAGCCTGATGCTCCAGCCAGTGTTTTATCCACCTTTACAGTCCGTTCATCCAGCTGGTACTTCCTTAGCTAGCCTGCGAGAATGCTGTGGGAGATTGCATCAAAAGCTTTGCTAAAATCAAGGTACCCCATATCCACCAGTCTCCCCACCTCCATAGAGCCAGTCACCTTGTCATAGAAGGCAATCGGGTTAGTCAGGCATGACTTGTCTCTGGTGAATCCATGTTGATTGTTCCTAATCGCCTTTTTCTTCTCCAAGTGCTTAGAAATAGATTCCTTGAGGATCTGCTCCATGATTTTTCCAGGGACTGAGGTGAAGCTGACTGAGTCTGTAGTTCCCTGGATCCTCCTTCTTCCCTTCCTTAAATATGGGCACTATGTTTGCCCTTTTCCAATCATCCAGGATCTCTCCTGATTGTCATGAGTTTTGAAAGATGATGGCCAATGGCTCTGCAGTCACATTAGCCAAATCCCTTGGCACCCTCAGGCGCATCCCATCCGGCCCCATAGACTTATACACATCCAGCTTTCCTAAGTAGTCCCTAACCTGTTCTTTCAGCACTGAGGGCTGCTCACCTCCCCAAACTGCTGCCCAGTGCAATAGTCTGGGAGCTGACCTTGCCTGTGAAGACTGAGGCAAAAAAGTCATTGAGCACATCAGCCTTTTCTGCATCCTCTGTCACAAGGTTGCCTCCCCCATTCAGTAAGGGAGCCACAGTTTCCCTGATCCTCTTCTTCCTACCAACATACTTGTAGAAACCCTTCTTGTTACCCTTCACTTCCCTTGCTAGCTGCAACTCGGATTGCACTTTGGCCTTCCTGACTTCATCCTTGCATGCCCAAGCAATGCTCCTATATTCTTTCCTGGTTATTTGTCCAGGTTTCCACTTATAAGCTTCCTTTTTGTGCTTCAGTTTACTGAAGAGTTCCCTGCTAAGCCAAGCTGGTCTTCTGCCATACTTGCTAGTCTTCCTGCACATCGGGATGATTTGTTCCTGCACTCTCAATAAGGTTTCTTTTGAAGTACATCCAGCTCTCCTGGACTCCTCTCCCCCTAAGTCTGGTTTCCCAGGGGATCCTGCCCATGAGTTCCCTAAGCAAGTCAGAGTCTGCTTTTCTGAAGTCCAGGGTCTTTACTCTGCTGCTTTCCATCCTTCCTTTCCTCAGGATCCTGAGCTCACTCATCTCATAATCACTGCTGCCCAAGTTGCCATCCATTACTACATTCCCCACCAATTCTTCCCTGTTTGTGAGCAGCAGGTCAAGAATTGGCTACTCCAGCACTTGCACCAGGAAGTTGTCTCCAACACACTTCAAAAACTTCCTGGATTGCCTGTGCACTGCTGAACTGCCCTCCCAGCAGATGTCAGGATGATTTGAAGTCCCCCATGAGAGCCAGGGCCTGCGATTGGGGAAACTTCCATTAGCTGTTGGACGAAAGCCTCATTCACCACTTCCTCCTGATCTGATGGTCAATAGCAGACATCTACCATGACATCACCCTTGTTGCTCTCCCCTCTGACCCTAACCCAGAGACTCTCAACAGTGCAGGGGGGCATGACCATTGAGGTGAGAATTGCAAGGTATATGGTCTCGGGGTCAAAGGAAAGGCCTCAGTGACACTAGCATGAAACTCTGCCTGTTGGTCTTGGAATGAGGTGGCTCTAAAGTAAAAAGTTGGATAAATGCCTGTGGCGTGGAGGATGAAAAGGCATAGCAGGAGAAACAGGAAACATGGTGCTGAAAAGTGCTGAGACACAAAGTCTGGTGAATAAGTACAACTGCTCTTTCTAACAATAAATCATCCATGTAAAGAAAAAAATTAATTTGGAAATGAGCAGTTAAGCCACTTCTCTGCTGTCATTATCACTGATGGAGTCCCTTAACTGCTAATCTCCAAACTATCCTAGCACTGCTCAACTGATTGTCAGTCCCAGCCCTTGCACAGCATTGGAGTTGATTGTTGGTCCCAGCCCTGGGGCTGTAGTGGAGCTGGTTCAAGATTTCAGTGTGATGTCAGGGCAGAGACCAACAGCCAGCAAGCTGTGCTCATATTATTTTCTTGGAGCAGTCTGTTGATAACTGAACATGTATTACTTAAGTGCAATTAATACAGTCATTTTGGGTATCTTTACATGTGCTCCAGGGTGGGGTGGAGGGGTGCTTCAGTTAGAGCTTTAATTAAAGCGCCCACCATGTCTCATGTATTCAGCGTCCCTGCATTTCAAAATGATGGCAGGGGCACTTTAAAGCTTGTTGAATGCTGAGTACACCAGATGCCAAGGCTGCTGGAGTGTGCTAATTAGCATCCTCCTGCAGAATCAATTAATTGAGTCTGCTCTAACACATGCTAATTAGCATGCACTGGAGCAGGTATTGGACACATGTATAGATGCCCTTTAAGTGCAGTTAACACGTTCTCTAACTGTAATGTGTAACAAGGCCCTCACTCGTTGAAGTGGTTGAGGCGAAGGGGGGTGGAGTCCAGTGGAAGGTTGGGCTAACTTTAATGTAATTGAAGTACTTTCTTATATATGTAAATAATCTGGATGTGGAAAGATGATGAGAGTTATTTTCGATGTTTATGTGCTAAAACTCTTTCCATTCTCTTTCTGGCTACAGAATGCAAATGCATCAGCCCCAAGCCCCCTTCCCGAAGGTGCCTATAGCAGCTATGTCCCGAGAGGAGCTGCCACCACAGAAACCATCAGCATTGCCTCTGGATCAAGTAAGAGCCACCAAAGAAAGAAGTTCAGATGAGAATTTTTCTCTTCCCTGATTAAAAAGTAAAATATTTGAAAGTGGGTTTAGAATGGGGGGAGGTAAGGAAATCTATTAAGTATTGGCAGGGAAGGAGGGGTGAAATGACATATGAAGGGGATCCTAGTAATCATAACTGGATCCCTGATTGCAGATATTACCTGGGACCAACTCTCCTGTCACAAATGTTATGTAAATGAGGGAGCTTTTTCTTTGTACCCTCCCTCCCACCCCCTGGTAAACATTAAATTTTTTTCCCCCTTTTCCAGAGCTAGTCCACAGAGGGAAGAACCCTGAGAAAATGAAAGCCACGTGATTTGGACAAGGGGAAAAGGGTTGGACTCCGCAATCCGTAGCAGCGCATAGCTTCCAGAGTCACGTGGAACATGATGCCATGATGGCTTTTGTGTTTTTAAACATGGAGTAGTTGTGGGTCCGTGGCCAGCTGAATGACTGATCTCAACAGCACAGAGGAAGCATCTCAAACTGGTGGCTTTCAAGACTGAGGACTGTCTCTTGTTCAGGGTTTGAAGGGTTTGGGTAGGGAGGTATGGGGATTGAAATTTTCATGAACTGCTAAACTCAGGTATATTTTTCAGGGTGGAAGAGGATGATGATGGAATTTACTTGTAGTATTAATGTGTGTGTTTGGAGCTGCATCCAGTTTACAGAATTTACCTGTTGCCTTTTTAAATAAATTTTTGTTGTTGGTGAATGTATTGTACATAATGGGGGGGGAGGGGGTGGGGCCCAATTTGTAGTGGGCATAGCACTGGGGTGATCCTTAACTGTTTACAATCATGTCACACTGAAATCTTTCAGTCTAGGGCAGTGGGGGGAAGATGATGGAACTGTTTGTAATTTTTTTAATCTTCCCCACCCTCGTTCCAGTACTCTGAGGCTGAGACACTACTCTTGAATTGATCGCAGGGATTTTCAGGAGCAAAACATGGCACTCCACTCTCTCATCCACAGGTTGAGTGCACTTCCAGCTCCTGCCATCATGGGGAACAAGTAAACCAGGACCAGGAATTGAAACCAGGACAGATCTCATGGCATTGCCCCCTAGACCAGAGTAGCAACCTTGCCTGACAATTGTGATCCCAGTCATTCATGTCTCAGAACATTGCAGATGGTGCTCTGTGCTTCAGTTGAAGCAGTGCAGTTTGAAGACGAGGTCATGGAGTAGTATCATAAAGTTAACTTTGTTGGAGCAAATACGGTGCTAGCATGTAACACCTCTCAGAACAGAGAGAGGAATAGAAATGTTCCCAGTTTTCTCTCAGAGCAATTTTGCTGTTCTTGCCTCCTGATACCAACAAAGCAGCAACAGATGGATAGTCTCTCGTAATTCCTGACAACTCCAGCTTATGTGTGGGATAGGAGCATGAAACTGCTTTAAGAGAAGGATCCGTCTGATCTTTGCAAAGAATTTTTCCAACTGAGGCCCCAACTTTGACATTTGCAAGTTAGTAGATAAGGGTGAGTTGGAATTTTTTTTTTCTAGATAAAATCATTAAGTGTGGCATTTGGGAGAAGAGCAAGACTGCCTTAGGTTAGTGCAGTAGATTTTCCTGACAAGAGACATGGATTTAAATGTAGCTTTAATTTAAAAGTTAAATGAGTTTGGTAGATTTTCACCTATGCCTTTAGAGAGAGATTTTTGTCAATTTCATAGGAAGCTACCAAACAGGCAGACAGATTGGCATTAGGAGCTAAAAAGAAAGTGATGTTGTATAGCAAGACTGAGGTATACTGGTGAAACTATGTAGATCTCTGGTATTGATAACAGGGTGTGGTGCTGGTTAAAGTTGAGGGTATGTCTCTGCAGTGAGAAGGGGTAATGATAGCAATGAAGATGTAATAGCACAGGCCTGAGAGTGTTCTAGCAATCAGAGTATGTAACCACTTTGCTTGTTAGCACATAGTTGGTACCATTGCATCTTCTATGCTATAGTTAGATGTGCTGGGTAGATTGCAATTGCGCCTTCATTTGCTAGGTTATCATGCCTTGAGCGTCCACCAGCAGTCTTTTCCAAATCAATACCAGAGTCTCTGAAATGCATCCTCTGAGTATGAAGTATTTTTGCCTAGCCCCTGTGGCATTACTAGATTTGTTCAGAGCTCTGGTGAGTAACAAAAACCCTAAGCTTAAAAAAAAAAAAAAAAAAAAAAAAGCATTCTTTTAACTATGAGGATGAGGAAAGACTAACATTTTAATACTATGCTTACTACTCATCCTTTCTGTTCTGTGCTTTTTACTGCTCATAGTACAGACTGGGGTTACAGGCATTTTCGAAGCCCTGTGCCCGCAAGCATAACAAGAGTGTAATTGCACCCCTTAATTTTTGTGTACTCTTACCCAGATGCAGGTTGCTGTAATTTTATTCCCACTAGAGTCACAGAAATAGTGAGTGGCAAGGATATTTATAGCGCACAGTTATCTTTTCTCCATGTTCATGTGAGTGGTGTCTGTTCACTGTTATAACAACGCTCAGATTATTTAGTTCATGCCCAAACCTAGGCCTGTAAACAAATTATAGCAAAGCTTCTGTGAAAGTTCTTTCACAGATCTCATTATGCAGAACATTGATTTGGCCAAGTTGGTCTTAATTGTTTGGGTTTTTTTTAATTATATTCCGCAAACAGGCAGCAGCTATTCCTGGTAGTGTGGTGTTGGTTGGCGCACAGGATATATTGCGTCTCACTAGAATGAACGGGAGTCGAGTAGTATCTTCCAATTCAAAACACACTTGGCCCCATTCACTAACTAGCAATACTGAAACAGTGACAAATATTTATTAAAAATACAGATATATTCAAATTTCCAGATTATAAATCTAGGAAACACTTTTAATACACCAGTTGCTTCTGCTCAGAAAATACCTTTCAGCTCATTTTAAATGGAAAGAACATTTAAAAACCAAGGAACTCTGTGGCAAAGTATTCTTTGAAACTGGAAACTGAATTCATTTTCTACAAACAACTCCTGTCCTACCAGAATATGCCCTTCACTTGGTTGGCAGTTATCCCAAATGTTGAAAATACTTCTCAAATTACTATAAGCTCTCTGTTATTCTTTGTGGATCAGGAAAGTTTGGAAGCTATGGAGAATGCAGTGAAGCACTCTGGGCCTGCAGCAATGAAAACTGGGTCCTAGGGGTGATCATAGTGTATATGGATGGTCCGGTGTCAGTCTGATAACAAAAACAGTGGTGCTTTGGAGAGGGTCATGGAATGGAAAGTAGTGGCAGGTGTTTTGAACACCACGTGCATTAAGTGTGAGATGAAAATACTGCCATCTCTTGACCTAGTGGAGATGATGTGGAGGGGAGGGAAGGAACAAATGTGATCTACGTATGGACAAGAGACAGGATTTTGTAGCTGATTCATTCTAGGAAGGTCTCTGGTTGGGTAAGTGGCTCCAGTAGAATGTATAGTTTATATATAATCAAAGCATTGGCTACAGTTGTGATGGCCCATGATTTATGTTAGAAATGTACATAAAGGAACCATGATTAGGATATAGGAGCAGGATGTACCAGGTTAGAAAGAGAAAGCTGTTTGTTGAGTCTTCATTTCTGATTATCAAGCATTTTGTAAATAGATGTTAATTTTATTACAGCACTGTGGAATCCCAGTAAAGTATCAGGACTTCATCTCACTAGGCACTGTGTGCCCTGTTTGTAACTTACTCACTCCCTGCCCTACAGGGCGTGTAGTGAGCAGGATGAGAATCAGAGAGATGGAAGGGACCCTGCAGGTCATCTGGTGTTTCCCCCTACAAGTGCAGGTATGCACATCCTAAATCATCTTTGTCTGATGCTTATTCAGTCTCCTCTTAAAGTCCTCCAGTGAAAGAGATTCCACAACTTTCCTGAGCAATGTGTTCCACTGCTTTACTGTCCTAATAGTAAGGAAGTCTATCAAGAGATTTAGTCAAAATCTACTTCTGCTGCTAATTAAAGCCATTGCTTTGTCCTACCTTCTGTGGTAAGGAAGAACAGTTGTTCCACCTCTTCTTTATGGCAGCCTTTCAAATATATGAAAACTGCAATCATCTCCCCCTTAAGTCTCCTTTCTCTGAGAATAATATGCCTGGCTCACCCTTTCCTCCTGTGGCTTGCCACCTTAACCCCATTATCATTTTTGTTACCTGCATCTGGACCCTCTCTAATTTATCCACATCCTTCTTAAAATATGGAGTCCAGTTTTCTTTCACCCTGTATTTGTGCATTTGATTTATTCTTCCAACTAATGTTGCACCCTACATTTTTCTGCAGTGAACTTTATTCTCCTCTTTCTAGTCCAGCTCTCCAATCTGTCAGAATCATTTTGAATTCTACTCCTGTCCTCCAAAATGTCTGCAATCCTTCCCAGTTTTGTCATCGGCAGACTTGATTAGAAAGTGCTCTCTTCTCCTATCCAGGTAATTAATAAACAGACTGGGGACAGACTCCTGGGAAACTTGATTGAAATCTCCTGCCGTTCTGAGATTTGACTCATTTTAATACCCTCTGTTTGCAGTTATTGAGCCAATTATGTATCCATCTTACAGTAATTTTATCTAGCCTGCGATATCCAGTTTACTTATGTTGAACGAGACTTTATCAAAAGCCTCCAAGTTGGTTTGGCACAGTGTGCTCACAGCAAATCCATGCTGGCTGTTAGTGATCAGCTTTTCCTCTTCCAGGTATTTACAAATTGACTATTTTTATAGTTTGCTCTGGTAGCTTTTAGGGTATTGATCTTCCAAGCTGACCAATCTATAACTCTCCAGATCCTCCTTTTTCCTCTTGTTAAAGATGGGCACTATGTTAGCTCTTTTCCAGGCCTCTGAAACCTCTCCTGTCTCCTCCACCTTTAAGACCTTACTTTCTCATATACCTGGTGCCTTCAAATCAGATGCACACCTTGTTTTGGGAAGTCAGAATGAAGAAAAAAAGATTTTTCCTTTTGTGGCTGAATGCTAACTGCAGGGGATACTGACCACAAATGCTGTGGGGGGGTTAATACTATAGCTCTGTCCTTGAAAGGTGAATTCTGTCCCCTCTTTCCTTGAAGCTGGCAAAGAAAGAAGCAGCATAGCAATCATCTTGCAGTAGTGTCTGCTTGTTTCTGTTCTTTCTTGCTTCTATTCCAGCAAAGAAAAATTTACTTTCCTTGCTCAAGACACGCATCCCAGTTTTGGAGGGATGATTCTAGGGAAAAGGGTATGTGTGGTATGCAAGTATGGTAATATTGCCAGTGGTTCTAAGATCCCTTCTGCCAGTTCCTTCAGGACCCTGAGATGAATTTCATCAGGCCTGCCAACTTAAATTCAAATTAAACAAAAATTCTCTAATGCTCTCTTTAATTACCATGTTGCTTGGCCTTTCCTTTTCTTTGTCTTTATTATTTTTGTGAGCTGCGTGGTTGCAGCTTTTTGTGAAAACTAAGGCAAAGTAGTAATTGAGCAATTCTGTTCCCCATACTGCTTGTATTTGCATACATGCATTTGTATACATGCATTTGCATTTCGACCTTCTCGTTTTCCTCTTGCACCTCTTCTTGCTACTCCTTAGCTCTTTTAGTCCTTCCCTAGCATTAGTTGTCTTCTCTTTGTTCTCTTCCTTCTAACTTAAATACCCTGTGGCAAGAGGGTTTTGTCCACCATCCTCGATACAACTTAAATTAAAACCCTGCTTATTAAGTTAACCAGACAGTACCCAGAGATTCCTGTTTTCCCAACCACTGGTAGACAGAAGTGATTTGTAGGCATGGTATCAGAAGTAGAAGAAATGCAACTTCTAATTTAAACTGTCTTCTCTCAAGCATCTGACTTCTAATCACTGCAATGTTTACAGTTAACTTTTTAGCAAAAATCCAGTGGGCCCCCATGCTCCCTCTTTGGAACCCCAAGTACTAATGTAACATAAATAAGCAAGCAGTCGATTCTTATTTAGAAAGCATGTTAAGCCAATCACGTATGAAAGCATTCTGAGAATGTTTTGCTATAATTCTAGATTTGGTGTAAAAACAAGGCCACATAATGTTTAGAACAAATATTGTACAGACAGACTCTTGGAAAATGTTTTGCATTCACAAGACACTCTGTGAAACCTCTTTCCTTTCCATTGGATCAGAATGCATTTTGGCCTGTGTAGCTTGGACTTCTTGATCATGAGGTTGTATGTCACCTCTGTAAAAAGTATGCCTTGCTTTTTTATTTTAAGTGGCCCCAGCACAGCTGTATACACTATCCCAGGCGTCTTGGTCTTTTTGTTCCTGTGGATAGTATGTAATATTTGCTATCTCCATAGACTTGCTGTCATTTATGTGAACTCCAGTGCACAGATCTTGGTGGAACTCCTGCATTTGGCAGCACCTTAAACTTTACGTGCCCTGGCAATTCAAATAAGAGTATTCTGAAGTCTGCTGTCTTTGGCTGCACACTGATTGAGCTACATCCAATGCAGTTTGGAACCCATGAACTCTTTGTGGAATCAGTGATAATATAACTACAGCAAAAGCTCCGTTAACCGGCACCTTACAAGCTGGCATGCTCTATTAACCAGCATGCTGGCTTGTAAGGTAAAGTGAAACCGGAAGTGCCTACCATGGCACTTCCAGTTTCTCTGAGCCCCCATGGCCCAGGGCAAAGCAGCCTGCACAGGAGGGGTGACGATGCCCCAGATGTAGCAGGAGAAGCAGCAGCCCAAACAGGCAAAGATGCCTGCTTGGGCCTCTCAATTAACCAACATATTTTGTTATCTGGCATCCCCCAGTCCCGGGGGATGCCGGATAACAGAGCTTTTACTGTATTAATTTCAAATTGTACCTGTCAGACCACCCCAAAATAGTTAAAAGCACCAGTCCCTTTTACAAATTTAGAGTTTCTAGGCCAAGTTTGGTGACTTCAAAAGATGTAAAGAGACTTGTTGCAAAAGTAGACCTTCCTGATTTTCTTGTTCAGCAGTTACACCTGACAAATTCAGACACAGTTCTCTTAACAGGAGCCTTATGGGTAGTGCAGTTTGGAAAATTTGGATTGGAGGCTTGGAGAGGTATCCAAACTGATGGTTTAACAGAAAGCTAGTCACAGCTCTAGCTAAGGAAAGGGGGGGCTTCCATTTTTGTGAAAACTAGTTCCCCTCCAGCTTGTCTTCATTCACTCCTCTATTAAAAAAGGCTATAATTAAGCAATAGCCTGTTGTATTTTCTCTTCTGCTATTCTCAGTCAGCTGTGTCTCTTTATTGCTATGTCCTCAGTTTCAAGGTAGAAGTGTGGAGACACTCTGGGGGTTGCCTTCCCTGCATTGTGTAGCAGTATTTCTGGCTGGGGTGGGGGACATGTGGAAGTGAGGAGGGGATGATGCTGAACAAAGTCATGCTTAATGGTAAATCAGCAGTCCCTTTTATCCTAAGGGTCCCTCAGAATGAACAATAGTACAAGTAATGGTGTGGGTGCTAGTGGTTTCTGTTGTCCCATAGCAGCAGTGCAGCTGGATCTGTTTTCATGGTGATGTCATCCTGTAAAAGTTTTTCCTGGAGCCCACTGGTGTAGAGGGCTAGCTGTCATAGCGTTTTTGTTCTGCTTTGTGCATGGCATGAGGGTTTTAACAGCAGCAGGTGTGTGAACACTGTAGTCTCTGTAAGGCTGATATTAAGAAGGCAGGTTATGAAAAGTGGTGGTGCAGCTGCAGGTCATGTGACAGGCTTTTAAAAGCTTGTCCTAATTGTAACCAAGAAGGCGTCTGTCTCGCACTGGCCTTCAGCCTTTCCCCATCTGTATCTGTTTAACATACAGATGGGGTAAAACACATTCCAGTTTTGCAGGTCCCCTGCCGGCCATGCGGAAGGAAAGTACTTTTAACTGGCACATAATGATCCTAGCTAGAATGCTGTTGTTCTCTCTTTACTCTTTGCTTCCCACCTCCCTTCCACCCCACCATTTGGAAGGAGAATTAAAAAAAACAACCCAGAAAAAACCTCTCCTCTTTTCCAAGTGTCTTTGAATGAGAGAGAGGAGAACTGGATTAATTCAGTCCCCTGTACATGGGGGAGTCAGGTCAACGTGCATTTTGACTTGGGAATCAGGATGATCTAAGCATGCATTCCAAATTGTAACCTTTTGGCAGCGCTCCTTCCCTTAGCTACTGGTTCTTGCTTGCTGTAGTGAAGAAGTGGTGAGATGTTGTAGACAATACGGCCAACGGTGTACTGATTCATGTCACCTACCAGTTTTCTGTACTTCCACTGGGGAAGTTCTTCCCTCTTTTGATACAGATGGAGCTCATCATAGAGGTCAAGGGGAGAAAGCCATGTGTGTAGGGAGAGCAAGTAGGAGTTGGTTCCATCGCTTGAAGCGGGCGTACGTTTGGCACGTGGCCATTATTCAGGGCTGAGTATAAATTTGGATTTGATCCCTATCAAAGGAAAGAGAGAATCATCTAAAATCCTGCCCTTTATTGCTGAAACACCCAAGAAATGGGTAAACTTGAAGATGAATCTTTTTCATGACACAGTGATGGTTGTTGAGATCCTTTGGCCCTTGTGCAAGCAATCAGGCTAGATAATCCTAATGATTGCCTCTGGCTATAACATCAATGAATTGAGGAGAGCTGCCAATTGTCTAAAGTATTTGAATGGACTCAGTAGGTTGACCTAAGTAGGAGGGGTGGCCTACCTTGGTGATTGCCAGATACCTCCCTGCCCTTTTGAATCTAAGCTCTGTGGCTTTCCCCTGTTGTGCATCAGCATTTTCCCTCTTCCTACTCCTTCATTTCAAGCCTCTTTTACTCTGCAGGCTTCACTGCAGCTCTGGACTGGTCACTGTGAAATACTCAGAGTAGAGCTCTTATGACTAATGGGAGTGGGGGGCCGATCCAAGAAATACGGGAGCCGCCCCCTTTACACATGCACTTTTACACATGCTCCGAGGGCTGGGGGTGCGCAGCTCTTTAATTAGAGCAGCTCTGAGTGCCAGTCTAATTATGCCGCATCGAACAAGCTTTAGTTCAAGCACCCCCGCTGCCATTTTTAAGCACAGAGATGCTGATACACGAGACGCAGGAGGCTGCTGGAGCATGGTAATTACCACGCTCCAGCAGACTTGATTCACTGAGTCTGATCTGACGTGCTGGAATTCCAGTGTGTTGGAGCAGCCTCTGCACTCATGTACAGGTGCCCTGTACAACACACACACACACACACACACACACACACACACACACACACACACACACACACACACACACACACACACACACACACACACACACACTTGGCTTGAACTCAGCATTGCTTATCTCACTAAAATTAAGCTGCCTTTGGAAGCAAATGAATGCCCTTCCTGCATAGCCCTAAGGAACTGCTCCTGAGGGGGAATTGCTTGTTCTTTGTCCCCAGACTGGTTTCTCTTGGATTCCCAAACTTCATGGTGCTTGACATTTCTTTTTCCCCCCTTCCTTCCTCCTGCCTTGATGACAGCTTAGGTTTAAAATGTATTGTGCTCACCTACCATGCTTGTACCTCCTCCTTACTTGATAGATTGATATATGTAGCTACCTGAGTTCATCAGCAATAAAAGCATACATGGTGAGGCAGTTTTGTCCTTTCCCTTCAGTTAGAGGGAGAGGTCAACCATGAGGTTAGGTGCACTGTAGGACTCCACTGACCACAATCTGGGTTTCTCTTGTCTGTTGCTGACGAATACCCTGCTGTATAAAGGCATTGATGTGCTGTCTCTGCTGCCGCAGTAAGCACTGCTTTGGTCCAAGCAGCCAACTGAGTCCTGTTTACTGCCCTGCATTGAGAAGGGAAGGAAAACAAGGAGGTTGACAAGGACAGGCATTTTCTGTAGACTAGTTCTAGACAGAAGAGTGTGGTGGAAGGGGGACCCCTGCCTGCTGCTGAAATACATTGTTCTTTCTAACCCTCGGCTTCCAGCTACAGTTAGGTGCATATTATATGTTGGCTTGTCCAGGAACTGAGGCCTGCCTGCTACAGTTTGACTTTGCATTGAGGGGAGGTTAGGAAGTCCTTGCTCCTCTCCTTTCAAAATTGGTTTTTTGGGACATGTTGGGGATTGTGTATTATTGTAAGTTTGTAAAGAATGTAATTTGTCTGTTTGAGTCTGAGGGTGAAGCATGGGGCTTTTCTCTTTCTGGGAAAGGCTGTTTTATTTTATTTTGGGGAGCGGGTGGGGAGGCAGTGTAACAGCAGTTGCAACTGCTTCTGAGCAACGAGACTGTGAGTTGCTGCTGCAGCAGAGACCTCCAACACCAAACTGTGAAAATAACTCTGTACCAACTCCACATGCTTCAGGGGAATCTGACATGCACTGGGCTGCACACTGCAGCATTGGCAGGAGTGCGGGACTTGTTTGCAGGCCTGGCCTCGCTTGTTCTAAATTCAGTTTGAAATGAAGCTGGTCAACTGTCTGTGCTGCAACAAACTGACTGTGCAGGAAAAGCTCAGCATTTCTTTGTAGAGGTTGCATTTGATATCTTAAAAGCATCCAATGTAAGAATGGCTTCTGATGAATTCCTCCCCTAACTTCCCACATGTTCCTCCCCAACCCCGGCTGGGGCTCAGGTACCTCACTCTGCTGCCTTCTCCGTTGCTCCTGGTAGCCCTGGTCATAGTTTCCCCTGCCTATGGAGCACAGTGTCAGGGATCCTTTTCTCTCCTGCTGCTGCAAAGCTGTGTGAACTTTCCTGGTCAATACTGGAAAGGGGAATGCTATTTATTTTTATATTGTGTATATTTTGTCTTGGTCTGCTGATTACCTTTGTTCCCCGAGAGCGACAGTTACCTCAATAGTTAGTTTAATACTGTGTGTTTGGGTAATTTTTTTAAGAACTTTTTTAAAAGCTTGATCCTTGGCGGTCTGTAGATTTATTTCCATATAAACTGGTTATTTTGTATAAAGTACATTCTTAAAATAGCAACCACCCTTGCTCTGTGTGTGTGTGTTTTGTTGCCTCCTGAATGGTTTCCTGTGCATTTGTAGAGTTGACAGAGGTGCTTCTTGTACAAAGGCATTTTGAGCTGTAATCCTGAAAATCCTAACACCTGGAAATGTCCTGTAGATCATTTATACAAGAGTATCTACCAAAACTCATTGGCCACCTTCTTGGGATTTCCTCTTCCTAATGCCGCTGTCTGCATAAGAATTCTCTGGGTCTGGAAATTAAATGGCATCAGCTGTCCACCATGAGCCACTATAGGACCAGTCTCTCAACTGTTATGCTCATCTTTTTTTTGCTCCAGTCAGTTTTAAGTCTAAGTAGTGTGATGGGAGACCCACACTCTCTCTTTCCAGACCCTCCTTTCTCTGAATAGAAATGAAAGCAAAACAATCATCAAAGTTGGCTTTACAGTTATTGATCAAACAACGCTCTCCACAAGAATAAGAGCATTTCTTCTCCTGAAGGTCTGTAGAACCTTCCAAATGGTGACTTAGCATCATGTGGATGTTGCCGTTGGCTGCACTTTCAAGATGGAAAAATCAAATTTTAGGACAATTCAGCCAATTTTTTGGTTTCTGGCAATAAAAACCTATCTCCCGAGTCTCCTAGACTATCTCTGCTCCTAGTATAAGTGCATATTGCACCCATTGACTGAAAGAAGAACTTTTTACTTGATAATATAAGTTAGTGACAACTCGCTATATTATTATTCACCACCTTAGTTGTCTCATGTGCACCTTGCACTTAAACCCACAGAAGCTTGTGCCTTTTGCTGACAGGACATTCAGAGAGCCCCAAGTCATGAAGCAAGGGATAACATGATAAACAATAGTTCTACAGCAAGGGTGGACGAAACATCGATGAGTGTCAGAACTCCCTTTCCAGTTGCTGCCGTTGCCATCTGGCCACCTCTCTGTGATGCAAGGTAGGAGCAATGAGCAGACAACATGCTTCTCCATTGGAGTCTTGGTACGTCATAGTATCTAAGGCTATAGGATGAAATCTGTTCCTCTGAGGAGAAGGTGGGTGTGAGCAGGGGTGGATACAGAGGGGGTGTGGTGATGCGGATGCATCCCTCTTAATTGCTGCTCCACTCAGCTGCATTGAGGAAGCCTGACATGCTTAGTGCCTTGGAGGGGGAGGCACGAGCTGGTAGAAGGGAGATGGAGGAGGAGCAGTCGGAGAGAGAGGGATAGGGTAAGCGGTAGGAACTATGGTAGGGCTCCAAGAGTTCAGGGCACATACTGCTCCTGGTGAAAGTCCCAACCCTCTTTCCACCCTCCCCACCACATGGCCAGCGCAGCTGTTGCCCTAGTCAGTGAACTGTCGGTACTGAAGTCAGGAGGGACTGGGGTAAGTGACTGGGCTGGGCTCCCGGGAGCCAGGACTCTGGACGAAAGTCCTGTCCCCTCTTGCTCCAGCCCCCCACCTTCCAGCGCAGCTGCTGCAATGGAAGAGCAAACTGCCCACTCTGAAGCCAGCAGGAAACGGGTTAAGCGGCCTGGGGTCCTGAGTCATGCTCTTCACAGTGCAGCTATTCCATGTGCATAGCCAGCTGGGCTACCTGCACCAAGCCCATGCAGATACATGAAGAACAGTAGTGAAAGCCTGGGCTTGCCTTTTAAGGTAGCACTTCAAGATGGCCCAGACCATATATCTGTGCATTCTTCTTCACTACATTTCTGCAGTGCTGTATCCTATAGATTTTAGTTAGGTTAACTACAGTATTTACTGTTTTCCAGGCAAGCATTTTTGTGATAAGTTTATTGGAGCAGCTGTAGAGTTGGGAGAGCTGTTGGACAAACTTCTAGGCATCAAGTGCCCTTTCTCAAGTCACCTTTATCCAACAGCTTTCCCAACTCTACAGCTGGTACAATAAACATACCACAAAAAAATGTGTGTCAGAGACTTAAAAGTTGGCTTTGTTCAACAATGGGTGAAGAGCATCTCAATGGACTGGCAATGTTGAACATTAACTCAGATGTGGAGATCACTGCTAATGAAAAGTTGGACACATTGTCAAGATGCTCAAGAAGGCTAGATTTTGTTTTCTGAATCCAAATGAGAGGTACATTTAATTTGCTTGGTTATTGACCTTGTTTGTTTTTTGTTATACTTAATATAGCAAATCAAGTCATGTTCCACTAAAGTTATATTTGTTTTTTGCTTCAATCTTAAAATGAATAATATAGCCATAGGTCCCTACCATACTATTAAAGCTTCTAGTTTCTTTTTAACTGGAGAAGAATGTGTTATCTTATATGAAACGATGCACTGCACTATCTGCACTCCCCTTTTTCAAAGTCCTAGATCTGCCCATGGACATCAAGAGAGATGCAATCCCTTAGCTCCTGAGTGGAGAACAAAGGGTCATTTTGTCACATTTCACTACCACCTCCCACTTCCCACATCCATACGTGCAGAGGCCAGAGTTCAGAGCTGGGGAACGGGGAATTGTCCAATTTTGGAGGGAAAGAATTCTGCTGCTCCCTCAATTCCAGGAAGCATTTGGGTCATAGGGGATTGGTAGTGGTGGAGGAGTGGGAGGTGGGAGGAAGAGTCCAATCCTCAGGCTAAACGAGCTCTGAAATGAATTGACACTAATTGAAACCAGTCACTGAAAAGAAGCAATAGTGGCTGAGAAAGCTCAAGAGACAGCAGAGATGGAGACAAAGCTCATCTGTTTTAATCTCAACAAACTGCTGTCACGTGGTTGTAATGAGGAGCATCAGCCCAGGCCATGTCCTCCAATTCTGCATTCTGCTTCTTTCTAGTTTTTGCTGCCTGCCACTCTCATGCTTTGCTCTTGTTTTTCCATTGGGTGGACCACATCCCACACAGGGAACTGCAAGCAGAGCCCTTTTTAATCCTTCGGACTCAACATTCATCCCTAGATCCTTTCTGCCTGGAAATGAGGATCAGGAGCCCTGCTGCACCCATTTATTGCCCATCTGTTTCAGTCCAGTTGTCTACTTAATGTTAACTTGAATAAAAAAGGGGCCAGGGTTGTTTTGTTTTTTGTTTTATTGCAGTGCCCAGTAGAAGTCCCCTTCCTCTCTGCCCCATCA